TTTAGATTTTGAGCAGCAAATTTGAAGTTACATATTGGTGCTCACCAGGAATGCATAAGCAAAATTGCACAAATTTTCACTTGAAAGAATAGTGGCAATCTTGGGATTTTTTTCTGTTCGAGTTTCAAATCGTGTGTAAATCCAATACACTTCATCTTCAGCATGTTTAGTGCCACTTTTGTAAGTAACCACGCCCCTGTCCAGGCCACGCCCCCATCCGGGCCACGCCCCCGTACAGGCCATGCCCCTTTCCGCTTTTTTCATCACTCGCCATTGCCATCACTGCAACTGCCAATAAACCCCACAGAAGAAGACCATGGAAGGACAATAAATTAGTCCAGTCGTGTTTTATGCTCATGTATGCAGGTTTTGTGGGGAGGATTTTTTTTTTTTATACAGTACAGTCTTGTTGAGTAAAATTTTTTTCCCTGATGAAAAAACGTTATAAAATAAATTCGGGATGTTTTTGGAGGGTCTGGAAAGGAGTCTTTACATTTTCATTCATTTCAGTGGGGAAAGATGATTTGAAATACACGTGTGGTCAAAAAATGACTGCTCACCCCTCCCGAGATGTCGGATGGTGGACCTGAATTTCCTTGAAGCCCTCCGGAAGTCGGGTTCCATTGCCTCACTGAACTCTTTGGTCTGTTTCCAATTAAAGAAGTCAAACGATTATGTATTTCTTTACCAGGATTGCACACACTGCAGCATGGATTTTGGTCCGGTTGTTTCTGGTAATTGGAGGGTGTGAACAATCATGTACATTCTGTAGATGGCCCACATATGGAAGCCACTTTTCCTTCTTTTCCTCCGGTGTGTGGGAGGAAAGTGCACACCAGAACAAATGGCACTTCACACTTTGTCCAGTTCAGCCCGGGACCATGAAGATTCTGGAGATGACACTTGGGTTCCCACTTGAGATAGAGTTTTACCACAAGCGTCTTTATCACAGTCTTCATCGTCATTATTATTGTCAATATTGTCTGATGGATTTAACAGCCAATTCTTTGCACGAGCATCAAATTCATCAACATGAAACTTTTTGGAATTTTAACCAAATATTCGTGTTATTGTCTTTTGTCATCATTCAACAGTGGCTGTATTCTCCCACCAAGGCATAATATTTTGACCTATTTTCCTTTACTTCAATATTTGCCATATCCTTCATTACTTAAAGGATGTTTCTTCTTCGCATTAACTGCCCAAGCTTGACTTTTCTGCCTAAACTCACTTGGTTTACCGCCAAAGCATTTGCCAAGGCTTCCTTTTTGTCACCATCTTGCTGCTGATTTTCATCCTCCAAACCAGAGGTGACAAACTCATTTTAGTCACGGGCCAATGTGGAGTTATCTCTTCCCTCGGAGGGCCGTTATGACAGTGAAACCACAAAATTATTACTTGTACACAACAAATTAATAGATGACTACTTTTGAATTCAGTCAAGTCAATTATAATAGTTTCTTCAATTATTGTTCAAGTGAGTAACAAAATTATTGTAAAATCTCAATGTTATTTATTGCACATTACAATTTCACATTTTGGTACAGACTTTAGCAAGTTGCAAGTAGCCAGATCCGGCCCGCCAGATCCTGGAGTCATTACGTTTTCCTCACCACCATTCATGTTGACACAAGTTGATTTTTACTGCCCATCGAAATGTGATGTGTAGAGCCTACTAACATTGCTGAATGGTTACATTACCCAGCATTTACACACCATGCGCTGCTGTCATACAGGATGCACATTCAAACCATACAATGTAAATTTCCGTTCCTTTGTCACAAATTCCCCCCTTTGGTTTTCCTTGGTGCATTCAATACAACTTCATCATAATATCAATCTTGCAACTCCAGTACGTTTTTTTTTCATTGGAAAGATTTATGAAAGATTGAAATTTTACGTACTGCTTCAGTGCACCAGTTGGAGCCTTCAAGTTCATTCCGCTATTGCCCAATGTTTGGTGCCACACCGTTTGTCCAAAATCAATGCAAACATCTAATTGAAAGCAAACAAACAGCCACATCAGATGCATGCATTCACTCCCAAGACCCCTGGTCTATGTCCTTGAGTGTTTTGAAAGGCGGTTATAAATAAAATGTATTCTTATTATTGTTATTAATGTGTGTGCTTCCCAGCCAAAACTCCGCTGGTTGGGTAACACTTTCTTAAAAGGTAAATGACCTCCTCACCCAACCTGAAAAGTTTGTCATCAAAGGACAAAAGACTCCTACACACATACAGTATTAACTAAAATAAAAATAATAAGTCAATCTACAGAACCAAAAATAGAAATTATTTACTAAGACACAAAAATTGTGATGTGTACTTTTACATTTGAACCCTTCATCTCATTACAGATAGTTTGAGTAAATTCGTTATTTCAAAAGTGAAAAGGAGTTGAATAGGTACTGTAGGTAAGGCAGAATGAATAAGATGGATGGAGCTGGATTATTTCGGATGGAAGGAATACTTTGAGGAGTTGATAAATGAGGAAAAATAAAAAGTTTGTTCAGCTGCCTCAACAATTGAGGCACAGAACATGGCCCTGTTGGACACCATGTCCCCAGCATCCCCCGAGATGTGGTCAGAGTTCTGCTGGAGGCTGGAGTTGAACGGGACTATGTAAGATGTTGCTAACTAGCAGGCACAGCGCCAGGATTTTCTTTTGCAAGGGTTTGGACCACGGGGGCTCTACTGGTATGTGAGAGGGCTGAAAAAAAAAAGATTGATTTGCATTACTTCACCTACTTTATAAAGTGGTTCTCGGTTTTTGTTTGTTTTGTTTTGGGAGGGGTGGGGGGGTCAGTTGAAGCATGATACACGGCACGAGCATGTTCGATATTCAATGAGCTTTAACTGAATTTGGCAAAAGAATATAAAAAGAAAAAGTGACCACAGGCCAATGGCAAAATCTTTAACTGAACGAACAAGTCCATTAAAGAGCTCCCCCAACCCCTCCCCTCCCAAACACACAGGGGTACAGCACAAACTCAAAAGTAAGGATTGGAACGGAATGGCTGCTTGTAAATTTCTTAATGTTTTTAAACTTTATTCAATGAATAAAAAGTATTTTTAAATATAAAATACAATGCTGGAAGTGCTTAACCGGGGCTACATACATTTCGGATGGGGCTACATCACCCCTATAGCCGTGCCTCCTACTTCACCATTGGAGCCTCCACACAACCAGGTGGTGATCGGTTGACAGCGCCATTCCCCTTTCCACCCGAGTGGCTTACGATACGCGGCAACAAGTAATCATCTTTCATTATTGGCAGTAATTAGCCTACTCATATCACAAGATTTTAACTTGTTTTTCAAAGGTTTGCTAAAATTGAGATCAGCGCGTCTGAGCCCATCATTCCTTTCCGAGAGACAGTGGTGCGCCCTCCAAAAGTGGACATGGTGAATGAAGATCTTGGCAAGCAGCAAAAAGTGGCCGTCATTCACCAGGTGGGTGAACCTCTCTGCTCTTCGACATGTTCTGAGACGTGGCTCATTTGGTACCTGGCCAGGAGACATGGTCTTTTGTTTTTTTAAACTATTTGGGACAAAAGTGTCAAATTAATTCTGTCTGCGGATGATTTTCAAACTTGTCATTTTCACAACTAACCATTTCTAAAATTCTAAAAAAATTAGGGAAGGAGGATAAAGCTCAGCTTTCCAAACTATTGTCAGAGAAAAATTACAATGAACTTTATGCTGCTTTATTTTTCTGGCCCACTTTTGCACTTATAAACATGTTTTAACAGAAATGGTATGCTTTTTCTTCCAGTTCATGAAAATATTTTCTCACGAGCAGTTTTTGCTTTGTCATGAAAATGTCATTCCATAATTGTCAGAATTGTAGAAAAGCTGCGCTGACAGCATGAAACAAGTACAAATCATTATGTGTGTTTTCATTTCCATGTTTGTTAGGTAAAAGAGGAAGGTTCTCATGGTCGTTCTTCAGAGACCCTTCATGTTGACAGCAGTGGTTTGGTCACACTCACCACTCCAAATAAACTAGCCACTGTCAGCGTCCGTGCAATCCCCTTGCCACAGGGTAAGACCGAAATGCGCACCAATTATTGACTTTCCATAGCCCTCACTAATCGTCAACAAAGTGGGCACAATGTTTTCTTTTTAAGTATGAGTATGCTCAAGCAAATTGTAGTCCTGTTGAACACATTTTTCTGTGTTGTGACTTGTAAATTCAATTTTCGACAGATGTACTGTCCTTCCTTCGATTGAATAGCCCATCTCTCACAAAAGGGATGTTCACACGGCAAGATTTGCTCCGGTGCTGCGCCAGTAGAGCGTTCACACGTGCAAAGTTACACCGGTGTAACCCCTGAAAACAGCTTACTCCGGAGCAAATTTTTAAACCACCTCCCTGAGGTGGGTTAAATTTGCTCCGGAGCAAATGCTCGTTTTCGGGGCAGCACCGATGTAAAATGGTACGTGTGAACGCTACAATTTGCTCCGGAGCAAATGCTCGTTTGCGGGAGGGGTAGTAGCCTCGCTACGCATGAGAAGAGTTGATTACATAAGGCGAGAATGCGTTGCTTTCGTGCTCTGTTGTACTTCCGTCATGTGTTTGTTTAATAACGACACAAGACATGGCTGATAACAATAGCAAGCCGCACCTTGCCTCTTGGGTTATACCATCTCAACTAGAACGGGGGGGATAGTCCCCAAACGTCATCTTTCCTTTTGTAGGAGACTGGACTGTCAGAGTTGTTTGTGTAGTTTGTTGCTTTGTTGTGTGTTCACAATCCCCCTCCCCCCATAGAATTAATTTTGTTATTTCCTCTCTTGATTTTCTGTTTGGCGCATTATATTTGGTTTTTCTGAGTGTCATTGAAGTCATCGTTGATTTACGTTTTCGGGGGCGGTCACTGAACGCCTCTGGAGCAGAAGGCACGGAGACTGGGAAGGAGAAGGACGTGCCTGTACAGCAGTTGCTTGAGTTGTATGTTTTAAAAAGAACCAACACGACAGCTCTTTTTGTTTTCTATCGTTGTGCTCCGCTGCAGAAACTGCCGTGTGACCGCAAGTGGGGCTGCACCGGCGCTACGCCGGAGTTAACACGCTCAGCGGCTTTGTACGTGTGACCGCTCCACAAAATTTGCTCCGGTGTAAGACATATCGCAACCAGTGGCGGGCCGTGCATTTCAACCTTCGGCCTTCAGTGACGTCACATACATTAACACAATATAGGCTCATCAAGCAGCACTTAATTTCAGGAGCATTTAAAACCATCACGTATGCATTCACAATTAAGAGCAGGAAACTAAATTTACAGATATTGTCAAAAATAAAAAGATGATTTAAAAATACTAAATAAAATGCCACCCAAATTACGCTGTGTGATCTTAAATAAGTCTGTCCAATAAATTGCGCAATGTCGCAGTTTCATATGACACCAACCAAACAATAACAAAACAAACTATTCTTTGAAAATAAA